TCTAGATGTATTAGAAAATGGTTGATTCCCTGTACCGTTCTGGTAAGTACCTGACTCCTCCTGGTATCTTTTAACTTTACAGGAGCCAGATCAGACCGAAAATGTCTACACTTTACAGTTTTGATAGTCCAAAATCATTTATATGGCCTTGTGGGTGATGAACTATTTTCCAGTTTACAATCCCTTTCCCACAGATAAAACCAAAATACCAACTGACGATAATAAGAAAATATATTTGGCAAACAATGGAATGGTCAGTTACAGGATTTCTGGTCAGCTGGTTGTAAAACAAGCAAAACTTATAAGTAGGATTGGTGAAGCTTCTACTAATAAGAAGAATTGGTACAATATAAAGTACACTCAGCCTGAAGAATTAAAAGGAAAACAAATATACATTATTTACATTATTCGGACCATTGTCCTCATATTTGTTGCCATATTTATTAGAACGTTTCGGCCGTTGTATGCTTCGGTCTTCTTCAGGTGGTTGGAATGTTGAACTGAACCCTTTATTTTGCTCACTGGAGTAGACTGTTCTAGTTCCATGTGCTATCTCTAATGGATGTCAGTTATCAGTTATCTCCTGTTAATTTCCCTCTGAAAGTTCTCCACTGCCTTAACCGGGTATTGAACTCACACTCTTTGGGTCCCGTCACTGGATCTAACTAACGCCTCAAGGACACATGGCATAGTGGATAAAGGCGTTAGTTAGATCCAGTGACAAGACCCAAAGAGTGCGAGTTCAATACCCGGTTAAGGCAGTGGAGAACTTTCAGAGGGAAATTAACAGGAGATAATGGATAAATGACATCCATTAAAACATGGAACGTGAAACTAGAACAGTCTACCCCAGTGAGCGAAATAAAGGGTTCAGTTCAACATTCCAACCACCTGAAGAAGGCCGGAGCGTACAATAGCTGAAACGTTGTAATAAATATGGCGGCAAAGATGAGGACAATAGTCCGAATAATGTAAATAATGTACATAACCTCATCTCAGAAATATAGACAAACAAATATACACTGACATTGTTTCAGTTAAGGACTTACAGACAAAAATACAATTATACCTGACCAAAAGATATTGTAAATGATATTTATTTTTTAAAAAATCCTAATGCAATGAAGAGTGACTGTAATTTTTTTTGAAGAACAAATCCATTTTCAAAATAAAATAAACGGTATGTATGTGTTTGGTAATGAACAGCAGTTTGGAACGTGAAATCATTTAATCAAATTCTACTTATATTCTTTAGATACATTTTCATGGAAATGGGAAATATATGAATCATCCCCCAGCTATGAGTTAAATAGCAGACTGAATTCTTCTTCTCAGCCTTAGTTGGTAACCAGACTAGGAGAAGGAAACCCCCTAAAGCCCACTTAGATGGAACTCATTAGCGTGGGAACATGTGATCGTCTAATGGAAGGAAAATAGTAATAAGAAAGTAGTGCCGATGAAAATGGCAATAATTCCGAACCAAAAATTTGGAAATGTTCTGAAATATCAACCGAATGATGATAAGAAAATATCTTTGGTACACAATAGAATGGTCAGTTTCAGGATTTTTGGTCAGTTGGGAGTAAAAGAAGTAAAAGTTATTAGTAGAAGATTTACCAGTGCTACTCATAAGAAAAACTGTGCAATATAGAGTACATCTAACCTGAAGAATTAATAGAAAAACAAATATCCATTGACATTAGCTCAGTTAAGGACTTACAGACATAAATACAATTATACCCGACAAAAAAGTATTTTAAACAATATATTTTTTTTTAAAATCCTAATGTAATGCAGAGTGACTGTAACTTTATGTTAAAGAACAAAATCCATTTTCAAAATAAAATCAAATAATTGGGATATACGATTTGGGTAATGAATAGTGGTGAAAGTGAACCAATCAAAACACAGTTGAAAACAAAATTGAATTGCAAAATTTAATTAATCAGGATAATAACAATAATGAAGATAAATATTGTCCATTAAATACAGACGAATAATAAAAGACAATAATTCAGAGTTAAATGTTTGCAGCACTGGAAAGGTTATGAAATACCAATTGAATGATGATAAAAAAATATCTTTGGAAAACAATAGAATGGTCAGCTTCAGGATTTCTGGTCAGCTGGTTGTAAAAGAGGCAAAACTAGGACTGGTAAAGCTTCTATCAATAAGAAAATTTTTTTTAAATATAAGCAGGGATTCAACCTTGACAGCAGACTATATGTTTAATTAGGGTTTTAAAATCATTCTATGTACCAACAAGCATATGTACTTTTATACAAGTCAAGCTCAAGATACTTGTTCTACAATATATTTTATATAGTAATGTATTTTAAGATATTTTTATGTTTATACATTCTTTTTTATAGATACAAATATTTAAGTAAATGCTTTGTTTATAATAAACAGTATTAACAACATTTACCGACCTGAATATAAAGAAATTCTCATAGAAAATATCGTCCTCCGACGAATCAAACCTGTATCCTATCCATGGAAAGAATATAGCCTCAATTTTACGAGCACCAATAAAAAGTCAAATTTCATTATTAAACTCAGATTTTAGTTTCTAAAAGTATCATTTGCTGTTAAAATTTTACAAATTTTAAAAAAACAATTTTTAGTTTATGGAGGTGGAATTTTTTATTACAAACATTTTGGAAAATGTTGTTAATACTGTTTATTATATTGTTTAGAAAATTTACTACAATATTTGTATCTTTGTAATAAAGAATTTTAAACATAAAAATGTCTTAAAATAATTGTCATTTGTCCATATAATAATATAACATAAAATTCATTTGTTTACATTTGGATACGCATCGAGCAGATATGTATGTATGTAAGAAAATCACGGAAAATTGTAGTTTAAAAACAGTAAAATCAACCTTGCTAACCAAAATGCCCCTCTGTGGCTCAATTGGTAAAATCAAATCAGGCTATATGCCAGTTCCATATAGGATACAGGTTTGATTCCTGTTGGAGGACGCATATTTTCTATGACAATTTCTCGGACATTCAGGCCGGTAAATGTTGTTAATACTGTTTATTATAAACAGAGCATTTACTTAAATATTTGTATCTATAAAAAAGAATGTATAAACATAAAAATGTCTTAAAATAATTGGACTTTGTCCATTTCATAATACTAATGTATATAATAATATGTAAACCCCATTAATAGAAATAAACTGTTTTGAAAAATTTTTTTTAAAGTTTTTATTATTAATAGAAGTTCAATGAGTGAGCACTTTTGAAACAGCTAAATATCTTCTTTGCGTTGTAGTAATTATTGGTTTGGACTTTGTGATGTCATTTGTGGCTGTGCGCCATTGGAAATTGCTTGGCATGCTTGTAGGTTGCGGACACCTGGTATAGAGTACACTTAAGTTGTAAAATTAAAAGGAAAGGAAAAATATCTATTGATATTGGTTCAGTTAAGGACATATAAACAATTGATCCTAAGTCGGACAATGAGTTTAGTGGTACACTGGAAAATGAGCACTTGGGTGGTAGTGAGGATAAAAGTGAAGTACAAATTACTAATGAGATCCATATTAATAAAGTTGATTTTAGTGATGTCAAAGAGCTGGAAGATGGAAAATGGAGGAATGATGAAGTGTATAAAGAAATGGGCACATGGCCAAGTGGTTAGAATGTTTGCATTCTGACCATGAGACTTGGGTTTGAATCTCACAAAGGTTGATTTGTCAGGAAGAAGACTTCCTGGAGGGGGTCAATCCCAGTGTGCGGCACCTTTGGAAAGTGCCTGAAAAAACTTACGATGGGTTGATCCATGCCTTGTGAGTGAAATTGGGTAGACAGAACCCTTGCGGGCCGTCAATAGCTGTGCTAGCCCAAAGTCACAAGTCATTGTGGCTGAGGGCTTGAGCATGCTGGCCTTGTTCAAATTGTTGATCACGCTAGATAACACGCTTTTTCCCGGAAACTGTAACTAAGATCTGCTCAACATAGTTGCAGTATAAACCACAGGTGGGCTCTGTGAGTGTCAAATAAACACAAATGTGCCTGAGCAAGCATCTGAAATTGGGATTAGCTAGCCACCCTAGTAGACGGGTATCCTCGAATATGAGTGGCCAGCTATACATACATAAAGAAGTGGAAAACATAGGTCAAAAATGTATTTTTTCAAGATGGAGATATATATATATATATATATATATATATAAATATATATATATATATATAAAGGAAGTATAGATGACAAAATTGAAAGAAAATCCAGGATTGTAAATAAAAGGATTTGAAGAATGTTTAAATAAAATACAGAAAATGTCATATTTTAGCATCACCATTTAAAATTTGTTGAGACACAGGTTGGGGTGAAGTTTCTTTATTTCAGAGAATAAAATTTATTTCTACCTGAAACTAATGAAGAATATTTTAATGCAATTCTTCTTGGATTTAAATTATTTTAAAAATAATTATACTGTAATTCCCCATGTATAATCAATTTTTTTCTAAAAATAATAACATAAAATGAATCATGTGTATTATGCACAGCTACAAAAAAATATTTAAAGAATTGCCGTTTCATAGGTTGATTTCAGTTATGAAATGACTACTCACCACAAACATACGACAATTTGACACTAGCATTCGGCGATTGCGACCCCATAGGGATGTCAGATATAATCATACAAATAACAAATAACAATACTTACAAATGTAAAATAAAATAAGAATTATCATAAAACTAAATTAGAATAATGTTATTCTATGTTTAAAACCATTTTTTAAATAAGAATAGGAAATGGTGGCTGTAATGAAATTAGAGAGGTACAATTTATAGGGTTTGATTACCAAACAAGGGGTGCGTATTATGGATGAAGGCGTATTATACATGGGGAATTATGGTAATTGTAATGCTTTCAGTTTAATTTAAGAAATTCCAAATGGATCATTGACATAAAAAATGTGGATGATTCTTTCTGTCATATTAAGGAATACCATCATTAAAACTAGAAAACATGTAGTCAGGAAGATTTGTTTAAATGGCAAACTTTGTTGAATTCACAAGATTCAATTTTTTTATACTTGTTAAGAAAATCATTCATTGGACAGCTGGTCCCACAACCAGGAATATCGAGAAGTCGTTCATTTAGATAGATCTGTACAATGTATTCTGTTGCCTGTTCCATAAATATGTCGTTCTCGTTTCTCTGTATATAGATTCCTTCTTGGGGAACACAGTGGTATGTGACAATAGCAATATTGGCAGCAAACGGTAAGATGTAACTGGAACGGAATTTTCTGTGATGTTGCGCCTGGAAATTTTCTGCTTTTAAAGGCTTGGTGTCTTTGAAAAGTCCAAGATCAGAATAGACAGGAGCCAGAGTTTCTCCATGACCAAACATGAAATGGCCTTTGGTATAACTGAAAATAAAAGAACAGATAAAATATTTTAAAATGCTTGTTTTTCAAGAGAAAAATTAATGACATACTCAGCAGATTTTATGTTTTATAATAGTATTCACTCTCAGCTGTAATAGCAGTATTTTCAGGAGCTTCTAGTAACATCACTCCCAACCAGGTTTAGAGTTGTGTGTGTGTGTGTGTATATGTTTTGAACAATAAAAAATATTAAAAAATTAAAATCTTCAGACACATTGGGTTATATATTAATATTCCTTCGTTTTTATTATTTCAATTAGATTCCTCGACTAGTTTCGGCCAGCATGGATATCATCAAGAGAAAAAAATTTTCTGCTTGTTTTTTATATATATATATATATATACACACACACACACTGGCCACGTGGCTAGAATCTTTACTTTCTGACCATGTGACTTGGGTTCGAATCTCACAATGGTCGATTTTTCAAGCATCTGCAATGCCACCCTAGCATTCTTGGATATGAGTGGCCAGCCATTATCTCTCTCTCTCTCTCTCTCTATATATATATATATATATATATATATATAAAACGTGAACATTGAAGTCAACACTTAGAGGTGACAGGTCGTTTCATGCTAGACGTAATCATCAGGCCTGACGATAAATAAATAAACTAAAATCCACCTTCATTTTTTATAAATGTGCCGATGGCTTAAGTGGTAGAATCTCCGAGAAAACACCAAATCAGTCGGGTTATATCAAATCCTAGCTAGAGGCAATCGGATATTATTAAAAACACTGATGAGCTGTGAAACAAAAACAGTCTGTCTGTGGATGACGTTATATATATATATATATATGTATGTTAGGGAGATGTCTCAACACAAATTTGGTTAAATTCAGCTGTGAGTGTGTCAGGTGGCATAAAAATATTATCAGTGATAATATGATTACAAACTTGTCATCGGGGTTGATGCATGTTACATTACCTTGGTAAGTGGGTGATTTTTGTATAGTAGATGCTGTAAGGAGTGTATATAGATGTGTAGGTTGTTGCCTTCATTTTTTGTCTCATTGAGAAAGAACACAGGCATGGATGAAAATTTTGATTTTAAACATCTTTCCCATTATGCTTCCATTTGGTCAAAAGGCCAAATAATACTAATATGCAATAAATATTATTATTGTTATCTTTCAAATCTCTTTCACCAGCCTGTCATATGTAAATATTATAAGAGACATACATAGACAAGCTTTCTATATATATATTCAGAGCAGCATGAATCCATCCAGCTCTTATCTTAAATAACAACTTAAAAGAGACTGACCAACACAAGGACTGACCAAAATTCATGTTAAAAAAATAAAAGAAACAAATGAAAACTACAGATAAAGTGCATTTTCTCCATCAAGTCATTCAATTCTTTAGTTCCCTGTTACTAACAAGCAGAATTTTTTTTTTTCCTGATGATGGCCATGTTGGCCGAAACTAGTCGAGGAATCTAACTGAAAGAATAAAAATGAAAAAATATTAATATACAATCCAGTGTGTCTAAAGATTTTAATTTTTTAATATTTTTTATTGTTCAAAACACAGTTAATACCAAGCAGTGACAGTCTTTTTCATGCATGGAGACATGGCCTGAAGATTGTGTTCAAGCATGAAACAGGTTGTTGCTACTTCGTATTGACCTCAGTGCATTTGTAAATCAATCAATCTCTCTCTCTCTCTATATATATATATATATATAATATGAATGAAGACAAAAAGAAAAACTATTCTTTACTGACGCATTTTGTCCTCTGATGGACTTTATCAAGGCAAATGTAAGGATTATATTTTGTGACATGTAAATAGAAATAAAAATATTGTTAGACTTTCAAAATTTTTAAGTATAAGAAGGCTCATAAATATTTTTCAGGCTAACTGTGAAATTCAAAACTATGGAAGATCCTAAGTGATGTAATTTAATCATTAATAAACAAAATGAGTAAATGTAATCATTGTTGGGAGTTTCTGTTAAAAAAAAAAAAAATTCTTTCAACAAGCTAAAAAAACATCTTTGTGACACATTTTGTTCTGAGAAGGAACTTCTTCAGACAGTTTTATTGATGGAATTAATTTTATGTATCAAAATGCAGGAGAAAAGGAGAAATTCAACAAAAGCTAGTTACTGTTTACATTGAAACATTAAAGATAAAAGATACTCAGCCTTTAAATCTAAATTTAGACATTTGGTGTGCGATTGATGGACATCTTGGTCATTTTCATTCACCAATTTTATTGCTTTTGGGACTTTTTGCATTTATTTTTGCTATTATTCAATTTTTTAAAACCAAAATTGGTTGTAAAACAAGAAGCCAGAAGAGAGTTCCACAGGCGAGAATTACAAGACAAAAAAACTGCTAGCATAGAACTTACGGTTACATGTAGCCAATTCAACTGTAAAATGATGAAACCTTGTTGCCAATCTAGTACTGTGCTTAAATTCCTAAAGTCTTGGTAAAGCACTCATCCGAACAATTACCATGAAAGTATTTCTAGAAAAGGTCCAAACCAAACTTTGGAAAAGACACTTACTTTTTCCCTCCTCTGTGAGCTTCTACTGATGTAAGGATGCTGTGGAGAAGATCTTTCATGATTGGACAACTCTGTTGGTAATTCACCTTGTAACCATAAGCGTTGATCCAATATTGCTGTCAAAGAGAAAGTAAAAGAAAAGCACATTAAATCGGGTAAATATTTGAAAGCTTCATTTAAAAAATAACGTATGATATGATTTAATTTCTTATAAACTGATAATCTTTCTCTATTTCTAAATTCCAGATGTGTAAATAAGGGTCAAGTGAATTCCATCCCCTGGGGAGAGTTCAAAATTCTGGCTGCAAAAATATATATTCACTTTGAACTGATATCCTTGGTAAAGGCATGAATCCATCTTTCCCTTTAACAATGGATAAGTAGTTGTACAGTTGGAGCCTTTTAGCATTCAAAATAATGATAGCCAAAAAAGGTTCTGAATGTATTTTGTGCATATACATAGGTTTAATTTTTATTAAACATTATTTTTTGTGGACACTTCTATTTGAGTAGACGCTCTTGAAAATTAACAACAAAAATAATAAACACTATTAGATTCTTTATTGGAATGGTCAGCAAAACATTGGCTAATTGCCAATTGGTTCAAACTTTATAAAATAGTAAATAATGAGGATTGGTCCACATATTTCAATAATTTAGTAAATTTATGAATAAAAAATTGTTTTCATATTTATTTCTTTATCATACTTATTATAAAACCCAGGTTGTGTGTGTGTGTGTGTGTGTGTGTGTGTGTGTGTATCTGTACGTTTATATATTGGATTGGATTTCCTACATTTTTCAACCGATTTCAACAAAACTTCACAGGACTACGTAAAATTACCTTGCGGTGGTTCTAACAGTGCCAAAAATTGGAAAAACACAATTGTTTTTGCACGAAATCAATTTGAAAACACAATTAAGAGAGGCATTATCGAGAATGAAAAGGGGACAACTCATATCGAGTTATACTTATAAAACCCAGGTTGTTTATGTTGTGTGTCTGTGTTCGTTTATATATGGGATCGGATTTCCTACATTTTTCAACTGATTTCAACAAAACTTTTTTTTTTTTTTTTGGCAGGTAGTGTTTCTTATTGTCTTGCACACTTTTTTTCTTTTTTTTACATTCAGAATCCTTTAAAAATTCCATTTACAAGGCAATTGTTTATAATAAAATTCTATTCAATTGATAGACTCATAACGATTGAAAACAATATTTTTTTGATTTGGTTTGACCAAAAAAAAAAAAAAAAAAAAAAAAAAAAAACTAATTAAGGCATGCGTGTCCGTCAACTTTAAACAATAATCTTTGTCAATTTTATTTTTCAGTCTTTATGATGGTTGATACTTGATCTATCTCTTTATTGTTACATCCCCGGCAACGTTTGGCCTACTATTGCTAGTAAATGATAAATATTGAATTGTATTAGTTCTAATTGTATTAACTTTTTGAATGCTGTAAATATAAAATTATTCTTGTAAATGTACAATCTAATAAATTTAATATTTTTTGTTGCAAATTCTCAGGAAGAAAAAAATGTATAAATTCACTTTTATATGTTTAGGTTTTATTACAATTCTAATCATTGCTATTTTAAAACAATAAGCATTGCCGATGATGGAAGGTAGTTAAAAAAAGCAGTGTCATGGGTAAAACCCATCTTTTGGCACTATGTCTTATTGTAGGCATATTTGTCCATATTGGCTATTGTTTTAATGTTGTGGGGTGCTCATGAACATGCATATTGGGTTTGTCACATTTACTTATCCACAGCGTCATGAGTTCATCAGTGGATAAAAGGGTTGGTTGAATCCAGTGACTTGACTCAAGTAGTTGTGAGTTCAATACCTGGCTACAGCAGAAGTGAAAAAACTTGGACGGTTGACGGTTAAAAGGAGATAACTGATTCTGAGACATTTGGAAGAGGCGTGGCATATGGAACTACCCTGGTGGACAAAATAAAGGGTTTAGTTTGAAATTCCAATCACCTGAAGAAAGCTGGAGCATACAATGGCTGAAATGTTTTGAATATCGCAAGGAAGATGAGGACAACAGTCCAAACAATGTAAATAGTGTAAATAATTACAATATCTCATTTTCAGAAATACAGTGTAACCCGGATATAAGAGAGTTGTCGGGACCGGAGAAGTCGTCTCTTATATCTGGGTTTCTCTTATATCTGGGTTTGGTCTATTTTTGTTTAGGTAAGTATGGGCTCTAATTTGGGACCAGAGAAAATCTCTCTTATATCCGGGTTTCTCTTATATCTGGGTCTCTTATATCCGGGTTACACTGTATAGACAAATCCTGGAGAAGGCCGGAGTGTACAACAGCTGAAACGTTGTGAATATGACGATGAAGATGAGGACAACAGTTCGAACAATGTAAATAATTACAATATCTCATTTCAGAAATATAGGCAAATAAATCATTATTATCTCCCCTTAAAAATTCTTACATTCTAAAAATATTTTCTGGCCCAGTCAATCTTAATTTCTACTCTGTTTACACAAACTCTTGGTAGGTTATTTGTTGCTTTCCTCTGTCCCTCTTGCCTTCAACATGTCCTGTGAGTGTTAAATTTTCCAAGCCTGCTTACCTCATTATTTTCAATTGTCTCTTTCAGATTCTAAGTATGTCATTTAGAGTAAGAAATTCAAATAGACTTAGCATAAAAGCAAAAGGAACCATAAAAAATAGATATCTTGCTGACAATGTTGTTTATATATAACATTTAAGGAAGGAAGTAAGTAAAAGAACTTTTCTTTAGATTTACATTTCTCTGTCCAAAGAATAGGGATTGAGCTAGTAGCATATGAAAATAAGTTAATGCTTGGTATTGACTAATATGTTTCAAACTCAAGATACTTTCATTTCACCCCAAGTAAGGCAACAAAGCTACTAGGACGCAAGGGGTTACATCGAGTGAAAGAAACTGAGAAAACATTATTAATGAGCGAGGACAATAAAAGAACAGGATTCAAAGAGGCAGAAAATAATGATTGATGCTGCATTTAAATTTTGGAAGATTGTAGTTGACGGGAAAGCAAGAATCCAAAAGACAGTTCCACAAGTGAGAAGTGCAAGACAAAAATTAGTATAGAACTTATGGTTGCAACTAGCAGTTTCAACAGTAAAATGATGAGATCCAGTTACCGATCTAGTACAAGAGTCGGTCCTGACTTGGCATCTTGACTCCAGTCACTTTCTCACAGATGTGATGTAGCTTCCCTCTGTCTTTTCGACAAATATTTTCATGGCTTTTGCTCTAACAAGCTATTTCCCCTGGTGCTCTGACTACATGAATTTAAGCGTGCTACTAAGTTAGCATCTAGTTTCAACCCTTTTACTGTTGAAACAGTTAAATGTAACTGCCACTTCTACTCCAACAGTTTCTTTTCTCCCACTTCCCGCCTGTGGAAATCCCTTCCTCTCACTTGCTTCCCTGATAACTACAACTTTCAAAAATTTAAATGTCACATCAATCGCAATCTTCTGTCGCCTTGATCCCTGTCCTTTTTTTCCTTTCCTCAATCCCTAACCCTACCCAGGATTTTTTCTTAATTTCACTCACTGCATACTAGTGGCACTCCTGCATGGTTGGGATAAAATGCTTAAAAAACAAAAAAATTACCAAAGAGGAAAGCTCATCAGAACAATTACTGTGAATATTTTTATAGAAAAGGCAGAGGGAAGCTACATTATGGTGGTGGAAAAACAGTGAAAATAATAATCAAATTTTATAGAAAAGACAGAGGGAAGCTACATTATGGTGGTGGAAAAACAGTGAAAATAATAATCAAATTTTATAGAAAAAGACAGAGGGAAGCTACATTATGGTGGTGGAAAAAACAGTGAAAATAATAATCAAATTTTATAGAAAAGACAGAGGGAAGCTACATTATGGTGGTGGAAAACAGTGAAAATAATAATCAAATTTTATAGAAAATCAGAGGGAAACATTTGGTGGTGGAAAAAACAGTGAAAATAATAATCAAATTTTATAGAAAAGACAGAGGGAAGCTACATTATGGTGGTGGAAAAACAGTGAAAATAATAATCAAATTTTATAGAAAAGGCAGAGGGAAGCTACATTATGGTGGTGGAAAAACAGTGAAAATAATAATCAAATTTTATAGAAAAGGCAGAGGGAAGCTACATTATGGTGGTGGAAAAACAGTGAAAATAATAATCAAATTTTATAGAAAAGACAGAGGGAAGCTACATTATGGTGGTGGAAAAACAGTGAAAATAATAATCAAATTTTATAGAAAAGACAGAGGGAAGCTACATTATGGTGGTGGAAAAACAGTGAAAATAATAATCAAATTTTATAGAAAAGGCAGAGGGAAGCTACATTATGGTGGTGGAAAAACAGTGAAAATAATAATCAAATTTTATAGAAAAGGCAGAGGGAAGCTACATTATGGTGGTGGAAAAACAGTGAAAATAATAATCAAATTTACCAACCTTAATGTCTGAGAGATATTCAAAAGTTAGTGTGTCTTCATGATCCATCAATCGGCACCAATCAGAACCATTTAGCAGGCACT